GACAATAGGTACAATAACATTAATTTTAGTAATAACATAATAATAATATTTTGGTAGTATATATGCTGTATATCCACATTGATATATGATAATATATGTATGTGACAAGAATAATTATATATGTACTATAATAATAGTAGAAGCATGATGAATAATAACAGTAGTAGTAGGAGGCATCAGGCAGGACCAAGGCAGCAGCACAACCACGACACATGATCCAGGCGTAGCTGCGATCCGAGGGGACCTGTGAGACAGTGGAGCACAAAGGCTCTGAGAGGAAGCTGAGTTAGTGACATGCAGTAATAGGACATGAATGTTAGCGAATGAAGAAGAACAAATTTCTCAGAATCGTAAAGTGAGAGAGAGAGAGAGAGAGAGAGAGAGAGAGAGAGAGAGAGAGAAGGAGAGAAGGGGTTCAGTGTACCCTAGGAGGTCCCCGGCAGATATTACCCTAACTAGGGGCTGGTACAAGGTTTTCGACTTAGATTTTTAGACAGAAAAACAAACAAACAAAGAATCAATGATACATTGATAATTGTCCTTTTCTAAAGCCTACAAAAACCCCAACAATGAATTCTGACCCATTTTATTTTTTTGTTTTGTTTTCCATATTGAATGGAATAATTGAATAATCAGATGATACATGGACGGTGGACTAGACGACATTTGCAGATTTCTTACATGAAATACTGACACAATTACATACGTTGTGGCTTAACAAGTAAAGTTAGAAATTGATTCACAGAGTTTTAGATTATCAACCAAGAGGTTGTTCTCAAACAGCCAACAAAGTGGCTACTGTCAGCAATACACTCAAGTTACTTACATGATACTAAAGTTTAAGACTTCAGGACATATCATAGTGAGCTAGCAAGTAATGCAAAAGGTTAAAACTGTAAATCCATAGAATTTCCTTCACAGAAGTTATCAACAAGTGTAGTGAGGAACAAGAAGTGGAGTTAATGCCTGTTGATATGATTTGTATGCATTATGATATTTAGTTGTGATTAGTGATTGCAAACACCGCTTGGTCATGTGATATTTCTTGACAGTAAATCACTCATGACAGACACCATTTATCAGATGACTGCCAAGCAAAGACTGCCAAACCCCCGAGATCTCCACATCTGAGAGAAAATATTCAGGATAGAAAAGGAGTCTTTGGAAGTGGTGGGTCCAATATTTTTGAAAGGTTAACATGTCATAAATTGCAGTCTTCAAAATGTGCAGTTTAAGGAGTTTGCCTCTGAAATATGACAAAACCAGAAATAAGGGTGCAACAGTGTACTGTGAAACCTTGTACTGAGGTATAAAAATGATCATACCTTATACATTTGATTATCTGCATTAATAAAAAAAAAAAAAAGTAAATGGATGGAGAGTCTCACCTGTGTGTGTACGTCTCCTTTCCTCCACTCTTTGTCCACTTCTTTACACAAACTCCCCGAAAAAAGTGGTTTCAAGTTTCAATTAAAATAAAGTGTTTTTTCATAAAATTTTCTTTTTTATTTTTTCTTATTCAAAGGGTAACTGTATCTAATAATTACAATAATTGTGTAATGCTGTAAACTATGATATTTTCTGAGACAGTTATCCTACTGTAAAATGTGAAAATGTGACTATCACATAACAGTTGTATTAAAAGTTTGCACATCACTGAGATTTTTGACATTTTGCTACAAAATCATATAGTCTATCGAATGAGTAGTACTTATAAAATTACTACATTTAAGTTTTAGAAATGACTCATATTGAAAAATAAAGTAAGCAATTACTGGCTTTTATGTTCACTGAACTGTTGAACTGTGTTTGATCCATTCATTCAGTTAATCTCCATGCAGATTCTGTATGAATGCAATGTGAAGTCATACAGTAGCCTCTATATGGTATCCAATGTTAACCTCATTTTGTTATTTAACTTAACCTGACCAGGGCCCCTTTTTCGGAAAGCAGGCTCAACAAACTCCAAGTCTAATCCTGTGAGTTTTTGGTTCGAGAATAGCTGATCAGAATAAGATCAATCAACTCTGAGCATGTTCAGCCTGAGGGAAGTGTTAAAAGCGGGAAGAGTTAAAAGCTGAGCCACTTATTTCATCCCAACTGAATCGGAGAAGACAAACAAACAAACAAAAAAAATGTATTATGGCAGCTGCAGCTGAACAGTGTGAGGTGGGATGGGAGATTGCAGAGCGTGTTAACAGGTAATGTGAAGTGATGTTATGCAATGTGATGCATTAAAGCATGTCTAATATACAGAAAATATTGAAACATTTTTATATCTTAACAGTGTTCATATATTTTAATATAATTTGCTATATCCTCTTATTCAGCTGTAATCTGATGGGGGCCCAAACGCACTCAAAATCAAACACAAAAATATTATGCAGACTGGAAGACATTTTACTTATATTTTACTTCATTCTGTCAATATTAGGCTGAGGTTAATTGAATTGCTGAATTGCAGTGAAATTACTTGCTTTTCATGTGATCTCCTTTATTCCCTGATGAGGCTATGAGGGGGATGTGTCCCATAAATGCAGCCAATTACACCGCGGAATCTTTGAATATATGAAAAGTATTCATGAATCATTGCATAATGCATCCACGTAGATTAATTTCTTATTAACACTAACAACCCTGCAGCTCTGTGGGATTCCTCTTCATTCTTTTTTTTTAAAAAAAGATTATATTTTTGGCTTTTGTTGCCTTTAATGGCAGGACAGCTTAGCGTAAAGGACGGAGAGAGAGAGGGAACGACATGCAGCAAAGGCCTGCAGGCTGGACTTGAACCTGCGGCCGCTGCAGCAAGGACTAAGCCAGAGTCACTTTTCTTACGGCCCAACAAACTGTTGCCTTGCGGATACAGTACAGGCCAAAAGTTTGGACACACCTTCTCATTCAATGCGTTTTCTTTATTTTCATGACTATTTACATTGTAGATTCTCACTGAAGGCATCAAAACTATGAATGAACACATGTGGAGTTATGTACTTAACAAAAAAAGGTGAAATAACTGAAAACATGTTTTATATTCTAGTTTCTTCAAAATAGCCACCCTTTGCTCTGATTACTGATTTGCACACTCTTGGCATTCTCTCCATGAGCTTCAAGAGGTAGTCACCTGAAATGGTTTCCACTTCACAGGTGTGCCTTATCAGGGTTAATTAGTGGAATTTCTTGCTTTATCAATGGGGTTGGAACCATCAGTTGTGTTGTGCAGAAGTCAGGTTAATACACAGCCGACAGCCCTATTGGACAACTGTTAAAATTCATATTATGGCAAGAACCAATCAGCTAACTAAAGAAAAACGAGTGGCCATCATTACTTTAAGAAATGAAGGTCAGGCAGTCCGGAAAATTGCAAAAACTTTAAATGTGTCCCCAAGTGGAGTCGCAAAAACCATCAAGAGCTACAACGAAACTGGCACACATGAGGACCGACCCAGGAAAGGAAGACCAAGAGTCACCTCTGCTTCTGAGGATAAGTTCATCCGAGTCACCAGCCTCAGAAATAGCAAGTTAACAGCAGCTCAGATCAGAGACCAGATGAATGCCACACAGAGTTCTAGCAGCAGACCCATCTCTAGAACAACTGTTAAGAGGAGACTGCGCCAATCAGGCCTTCATGGTCAAATAGCTGCTAGGAAACCACTGCTAAGGAGAGGCAACAAGCAGAAGAGATTTGTTTGGGCCAAGAAACACAAGGAATGGACATTAGACCAGTGGAAATCTGTGCTTTGGTCTGATGAGTCCAAATTTGAGATCTTTGGTTCCAACCACCGTGTCTTTGTGAGACGCAGAAAAGGTGAACGGATGGATTCCACATGCCTGGTTCCCACTGTGAAGCATGGAGGAGGAGGTGTGATGGTGTGGGGGTGTTTTGCTGGTGACACTGTTGGGGATTTATTCAAAATTGAAGGCACACTGAACCAGCATGGCTACCACAGCATCCTGCAGCGACATGCCATCCCATCCGGTTTGCGTTTAGCTGGACGATCATTTATTTTTCAACAGGACAATGACCCCAAACACACCTCCAGGCTGTGTAAGGGCTATTTGACCAAGAAGGAGAGTGATGGAGTGCTGCGGCAGATGACCTGGCCTCCACAGTCACCGGACCTGAACCCAATCGAGATGGTTTGGGGTGAGCTGGACCGCAGAGTGAAGGCAAAGGGGCCAACAAGTGCTAAACACCTCTGGGAACTCCTTCAAGACTGTTGGAAAACCATTTCAGGTGACTACCTCTTGAAGCTCATGGAGAGAATGCCAAGAGTGTGCAAAGCAGTAATCAGAGCAAAGGGTGGCTATTTTGAAGAAACTAGAATATAAAGCATGTTTTCAGTTATTTCACCTTTTTTTGTTAAGTACATAACTCCACATGTGTTCATTCATAGTTTTGATGCCTTCAGTGAGAATCTACAATGTAAATAGTCATGAAAATAAAGAAAATGCATTGAATGAGAAGGTGTGTCCAAAATTTTGGCCTGTACTGTATGTTCAGTGTCTCTGATGTTCTAAAGAAAACTGCTGCTGCTGAAGAATCACATGGCAATCCACAATGTGTAATATTTGATATATCTGGGTGGAGAAGATTGTTAGATAAATGATAGAGTGTGAGGTGAAATTGTATCTTTCATATAGACACTCCTCCGGGGAGACATCCAAACGGGGTCTAATCACCTTCTTCTTATGCAACAGCCTCTGAATAAACTGTGCCTCAACGTCCACGACTTCATTCACAAAAGGACACGCCATGTCTCTCCTTCCAGCTACACGCCCAGCAGGCGATCAGCCTCAGGCTTAGAGGAAGCAAACCTGCGAGCCAGCAGTAACTGACTCAGGTTTACGCTGAACTGGCTTTATGAAACGGAAAAACTTTCCCTCATCTCGGGCTTAACGTACTCAGTTTTCCCTAATCCTGCTTTCTGAAATGGGGCCCAGGCCTAAAACTAAATAGTGTAATAAAATGTTGACATATCAATAATTAAAAAGACAGCCAATATTCTAAAAAACATATTTATTAGCTGTAATGTGCAATAAAAAAAGAATATGATTAAATTGTTACTCAGAAAAAAATCTCTCTTAACTAACAGTCTTTTTCAAGAGTTAATCATTGCTCAAACATGCAGGGTGGTCAGTAAATTTATCTGCAGATCATCAGATTCACTTGTTTCTTGTCTATGACAGAAATATAAAAAGTAAAAGTACAAAAAAGTAAGTCAAATTACTGTACTCTTTAGTATTTGAATGGATTCCTATTAGAAACAGAGAGATAGATTAGAAATACATTTTTGTTCTGTTCTCATTTAGTGGAGGAAAATCCTAATGTCCACGCCTGTGCCAGAGTTAATTTATCAAGCTGCCAAAGTAAGCAGTCACTGTCTTTAGCTTGTTGTTGAGGAAGTTCTGCTCCACCTCCACCTTCCCTCCTGGACCAGCTAGAGAGGCTATCTGTGGAGACATAGACATGGAGATGATAATTTATTACACAGTTGTTGGTTAATAATGTTAAATCAGGCCAGAATAGAAAGCAAAGACAAAGATTGTTGTGTTGTTGTTGCAGATCCAGTTAGTAATTTCAGTAATGTTCAGATTAAAATGGCATTATCTGGTATAGTAAACAAGCACCTGCAGTGTTAGAACTAAGATTGCAGCAGTATACCGTGAAATCATACACCCTGTGTGAAAACTATTTGCTTAACAATGGTACTAACAAAGATATGTAACTGAAGGGAGAATCTCAGCTGTGCGTTTGCATCTTTCATCCTTAGCTGCCTGTCAAATCTTTTTACACAAACTTCCATTAAAAATATGGTTTCAAGTATCAATTATAATAAAGCGTTTAGCAAAAAAACAAAACAAAAAACCCCAACAACAACTCTGTTTTCATTCCTTTAAGGATCACTGTAACCGACAATAACAAAGTAACTCAGGGAAACAGTTATTGTAGTTATTATACTACAATAACAGCCCCAGATACAATAACTGTCCTCAGTTATTGTACCATAAAAATCTCATGTTGTTGTAACCCTAGTTAGTACCCTATTGTTTGTTCTCAGATTATTATCATTATTTCCATCAAATATTATCTGCAACTGGTTCTGCAGTCCAAACTGTCACAATGTACAACTGTAAAATGTGAGAGCAAGAAATCTTCAAACCAGAACCACAAAACATGCTCATCTATTTGACCATTATATTTGTAATACAACATTTTGGAACCTGATGGTCAATAAACTTTCAGGAATAATAAGATGAATCCTTAATTGCAGTTTTTTTTTAACTATTATGACTTTGATCTTTGCATGTGCAGTATCTCAATAGTAGCTATCCCCCACATCTGGCACACCCATCTGCTCCAGATGCACCATCCAAACTTTGGTGAAAATCTATCACTAAGTGCTGCTGTAACAGTTTTGTTAATGGTTAATGAATTTGATAAGCCCCTCCATTACATCCTCCAATATATTATCAGTACAAGGTACGTACCAGTGCGTTCTCCAAATTGAATAAACCTTTTAAATACGCATGTCAGATTAACTGTACCAAATTTGGTGAATATCTTATTAATCTTATTTAGCCATCTGCTTACCGATAAATTAAATACATGTAAGCAAATTGGATAGACAAATCCACTGGCAAAACAAATTTGGCTTTCCCACCTTTCCAGGTAAGCAGGCATATACCACACAGTATATAATGTTAATGTTCTTGTGCAGTAATTAATGGCCTGTTCACCACTCATACATCCAGACATACAAAGACTGAACATACAGACCTGATCCATGTCAGCATTGCGAGGCAGAAAGTACACTATGTTGTCTGATATCAGTTTTGCCAGGCGGAAAATCTTAAATGTGTCTGCTGTTAAGAATGAAACCAATATTTAATACAAACACAAAAACATTACTATTTCAATTCATTCAATTAAATAAGTTTCATTGGTATGACATTTCATTTCTGTTGCCAAAGCACAATTTCGATTTCTGAAAGTGAATTCAGTTAACCACAATGGAATATAATAGGTAAATAAATTATTGAAGAAACAATTATTAACAATGCATCACAGAAAGAAAAAATAAGTCATGAAATGTAGGACTAAACAAAAAGGCAGAGTGTGATCTGTGAGGAAATTAATTCCAGCTGTTATGTGTTGTTGTGTTGGTTGTCTCTTTAGCTAGGACATGCATATCTTGCTGCATCTATGGCGCTAACACTATTTTCTCCACATCGATGTATTATTTCAGTCTGGTCAGATAATGTATCAAAATCTTGCAGTTAACATTTAATTTTCATAAAGAACCTTGTCCTGATGTCTTCATATGTGCTACGTTGTAGCAGGAAATGTTGCTCTGTCACTATCTGTCTCTGGGGGCAGAGCTGACACAGCCTGTCCTCTCTAGGCAGCCTGTGTCTGCCAGTCTCTATGGTGATCAGGTGATCACTGAGTCTGTACATAGTTAGTGTCGTTCTCCATTTCTGATCTGTCACAGTGGTCAGATAGTTTGCCATTGTGTGCTGTCTGCTTAGGGCCAAAAAGCAATGAAGTTTGTTTGGGGTTTTGTGGTAGATAGTTGATGTAGATTTATTTTTCTTCAGATGTAATTTGGTTGGGCTGGATTATGTGAGGGTTGTCCTGAGACCTTTCGCTGTTAGAGGAGGTGAGCCTAGGACTCCTCTCTATGTTTTCCCCATGGCGATTGAGAGCTTTGTAATAGTAGGAGTTGGGGTCACATGCTTTTGGGTGTAGAATTTGATGCTCTTTTTTGTATCCTAATTAAAAGGGGGAACTGGCTGAGTTCAGCTTGGCATCCATTGTTAGGGGTGTTCCTGCAGACTCTGAGTATAAGTTAAGTTAAGTTAAGTACTTTATTAGTTATTAGTTATACTACAAATCTCAGTGTGTAGAACTTCAATTGGGTGTTTGTCCCATTTTTTCAAAGTCTTGATTGACAAGAGGACCCCACACTTCACTACCATGAGTAATGTTGGTTTGATTATAGATTAGAATATTTTGAGACAGATTATATCTATCTATATCCAGGTATATCTATGTTTAAAGACTTTTTATAGCATTCTCTCTCTTACTCTCTCTGTTTTAAATCAAAGGATATCCATCGGGTTGCATCATGGTCCTGATATCAAACAACTCAGCAGTCAGGTAGTCTGGCCCTCCCCATGGTGGTGACAGGAAGACAACATCACCACGGAGATGGGGTGCCAGCTGAAGGAAGTCCCCTTGCAGGAAGTCGATTCGGTCAGAGACACTGTAAACTGTAGCATTGTGCTGCGCCAAGTCCAACCGTACCGGGTCAATATCAATGGCCAGCACTGAGAGTACGACACAGACAAGAAACACAGCGGGAGAAGGAGACTGTGAGAACTCTTTACCTTGCAGGAATGTCTGCACATGGACTGGGACATTTACAATGCTGCATGAGGACTCACTGGACAGTCAATCACAGGATTAAATGGATGCATTCAAACCAGGGGCCAGTTCAGAGTTTAGACTGTCAATGCCAAAACACAGTGGCAGCGAACGCTGTGTCTCAAAAAATACATCTCTATTATTTTCAATGTACAACCCTACAGCGGCAGTGGCAAAATGCACGTCAGCACTCCTGGGCACGCTGCCCTGCAGCACTTCAGGCCACTGTCCTATTTCCAGCCTTGCCGCCCACGGAATTAAATGCATTTTCCCCCACTTGCTCTCTGCTTGTACATTCCAGCTCCTTGTAGCAGCTCTTTTTCTCTGCTCCTGTGGCAGTTCAACTCTTCTCCTCACCATGGATGCATAAAGAGAACTCTGTTGCTGTGTCTCATATGTGACAAAAACTGGATGAGGAGAGGCTCGTGGAAATAGTGAGATATAGAGTCGCACTTACCCAGAGCCCAAAGTAACACCTTCATAATGTTTGTTTTGTCCTAACAATTCAAACCTCAACATAAAAATTATTCAATAACAAAAAGCAAAAGCAGCAAAAATCCTCACATTTGTGAAGCTGGAAACATGCAATGTTTCTGCATTTAAAACTACTTTGATGACTTATGATTTTCATGTGTTTCAAGTGTAAAACCTTAATTTGTCAAGTAACGAGTAACTACAGCTGTCAGATGGGTGCAGTTTATGTTATGTTATCTTTTTGAGTTTATGAGTATGACTTAACTTGTGACTTGCTTGACTTATAGCGAGGACTCGACCTCACTGGCTTGATTATCACCACAGGGGCTTGGGAATTGCTTGAGACTTGAAGGTTATGACTTTAGACTTGCACGTGTGACTTACTCCCACCTCTGCTATGTTGATACAACACATTAGCCCTTAGTTGAGAAAACTCAAAAAGGCTTTGCAGCGGTTTGCTTTACTTTTTAAAGTTTTCTTAACTTTTACCTTTTTTTCTTACAGTGTACATACTTTTACTACAAGTATCTTGGATTATCTGAATGACTTTTTTCAATGGATTCAGAAAATTATTTTTGAACTGAAGCCTTGCATAACCTAGTTCCTTGCTATACTCATGACTGCCTTTCATAATTTGTTCCTGTGGACAAAGACTGTCAGATGAACCTATCTGTGATAAAATTATATCAGCCGATAATACTGCCTAATGTAATGTCCAATGGTAGCTCAGAAGGCTATTATCAACCATAGCCATCCTGTAATGATGAAAGATTTTAACGAGGGTAAGAAACATATATACAGAAATAATCATTTCAGTCACAAATGGCTGACTCTGATACATTTGCTTTACCTTTCAGTACTTAATTGATTAAATCAAACCTAGGCACAGCTCTCGACAAAATGACACTGATGGAAGAAAGGTGTCAACACTGATATTATTCACTATTAGAATTTAATGGAGGTGCGAGCACATACACAAGCTCACACACTTTACCTCTCTTTCCAGTAAGGGCGAACTGAATTGCGTTTCCTCCCACACCACAGAAGGCGTCTATGACCAGCTGAGAGTCAGGGAAACTGTGCTCTACCCTGAGGGCGATGTGCTCAGCGATCCTTTCCGGCGTCACAGAGAACCAGCCCTCTGAAACACATGACTATGTTACTGATATGTGGGTCAGACAGAATCTGTGTTAAAGCATTTCCTAAACTGCCAAGTCGGCTGAATGAAATCTCAGTTTTTACTAGAACAGAGCCATTAGGTTATTTCAAAACCCTAGACATTAGTGAGAAAGCTCTGATTTTGTTACAGCATCCAATAATGTCCCCAAATCTTAAATATTATCCCAGATTACTGTTCATGCTTTTAAAAGTCAGCACAATGCATTTCTCAGAGCCTCTCAGTGTGGAACTGAACAACAGCAAGCCCTCCAGGCCAAACAAACAACACGGATTCAGTTACAATCTGTCTGTTACTGTCATCTGTGTCATTTCACTGTGTAAAGCGTTGGCACATATCAGTGCTGCTGATCCATCCCACACCAATGGTCTAGTGTGTAGCATTTAGTGGCATCTAGTGGTGAGGTTGTAGATTGCAACCAACTAAAACTTCTCCCTTGTGCTGAGTGAGTAGGAGAACTACAGTGTCCAAAAACCGAATGGCCCTATCCCACACCGTATGTGGATATAATAATACATTAAAGTAATTCTTATGACAATATGATACATAAAGAGAGACTGAGACAGAGAGAGATGCAGGGTAGACAGTAATAGCTACAATAACATTCATTTTAGTAATAATATTAAAATATTAATTATAACAGTAATTGTGGTACCATTTGTGAAACTATATATTAATATATGTTAGTGTATGTATGTGACAATAATAATCATATATGTATAATAACAGTAGAAGTAATAATAACAGCAGTAGTAGGAGGCATCAGGTAGGACCAAGGCAACACAACCATGACACGCAATCCAGGCGTAGCTGCAAATTGAGGTAACCTGAGACAGTGGAGCACAAAGGCTCAGAGAAGAAGCAATATGCAGTAATAGGACTTTAATGCTAGGAAATGCAGAAGAAAAAACTTTTCAGAAACTGAGGAGAGAGAGGGAAGGAGAGAAGGGGCTCTGTGTATTATAGGTGGTCTCCTGGTAGACGAGGCCTATGTCAGCCTAACAAGGGGCTGGTCCAAAACAAGATTGAGCCAGCCCAAACTGTGAGCTTCATCAAAGAGGAAAGCCTGACTATTTATAGCTTTGTAACTGAGGAGAAGAATTTTAAATTCAGCTCTGGTTTTTACAGGGAGCCAGTGCAGAGAAGCTAAAACAGGATGATCTCTTTTCTTAGTTCCTGTCAGTACAGTTGCCACCACATTCTGGATCAACTGGCGAGTTTTTAAAAATGTATTAGAGGAACCTGATAGTAGGGAATTGCAGTAATCCAGCCTAGTATATTCAAATATGTTTGGTCAACATGAATACTTCCAGTCACCTCTCGGTCAGCTCTACTAAATTTGTGCTATATTTAGGTTCCTTTGTCTATATTGCAAGTCTTAACGGTGCTGTATGTGGTTGGTGTTAGATGTTAGTGGCATGTGGCTGTGTGTCTTTCAAAGGGATGAGGATGTAAACTACCCAGTCTGTAAACTCTCCTTCTGCTGACTTCTAGCTAGCTAGCTGCTAGCTAGCCAGGTTGAGGTTTTTTCAAAGTAAACATTATTAAACATCAAGGAAGATGAAAAGAGATGGGCAACAGCTAAACTAGCATCCTGCTTGCCATCGTACAAACATTAGAAATAAACTGGACCACATCAGTTTCCAACAGCATATCAAGAACTGTAATATCCTTTGATTCCCTAAAACTCTTCTTGCGGTGCAGAGGACTCTGGTGAGAGAAGGAGAGGAGGCGTGTGCCTTACAGTGAATAAGGGCGGGTGTGACTGTGGGAATGTGAGGTGCTGTCCTGTTCCTGCTGTGTATCACCGTTATGCACTGTGCAGAGATAGCTGCATAGCGGCGCTGCTCGTGTTTGATAGAGTGACCATATGGTTGTTGAGGTCGGGATGTGTGGACGGTTAAATCTTTCCACAACCAGAAACCATGGATTACCAGAACCATCCAGGAACACGGACTGTCATAAAGCAGCAGCCAACAATGTTAAAAGACACAAAAATAACTAAATTGCAGTGCACAAGTTAAAGGAGTTGATGGGATCATATTTGTTGTAGCTTGTATAATTCATAATAAGTCACAAATAAATGATTGATTGATATATACCATTTATGCCAATATATCTCCCTGAATCCTACAAAATGGACCTTTAAGATAATGACTGAAACTAATTATAATGTATGCTGATGTTCTTAAGAATGAAGCATTAGATCAGTTTATGATGATTTATCTGCCAAGCTGGTCTGTGACCACAGAGTAAACCAACATGGCAATTAAATACTCATAATTACTTTCCTTAAGAGAAATAAGCAGATTTTTTATCTTTTCTTTTTTTTTTTAAATTAGACATATATTGTACATACAAATACACAACTTACTCATAACAAAATGAGATCTAGAAAAAAGGGAGTGGGGGCTTGGGAGTGTAGGGGGGCATCATTTCCATGTTGTTTCAGCTAAGATTGAACATATTCTAGAGTGCAAACTGGTTGTAAGAAGAACAAAACCATATATTACAGCACTAGGACCCTGATCTTATCTGGTTATAAAGACCAAGGAATGAAGTCAGCTGTTTTGGAGGAAAGGTACGTTGGAGTTGGAGTTGTTATGCAGATGATCCTATCCTGTCCCAAAAAGATGCAGAAAAATTGGTCCACCCATGTGTTACATCTAGGTTGGATTACCATAATTCCCTGTTATCAGTTTGCTCTAAAAAGTCTTAAAAAAACTCTCCAGCTAATTCAGAATGCAGCAGCACGAGTACTGACAGGACCTAAGAAACGAGATCACATTTCTCCTGTTTTAGCTTCTCTGCACTGGCTCCCTGTAAAAACCAGAACTGAATTTAAAATTCTTCCCCTCAATTTCAAAGCTCTAAATGGTCAGACTCCGTCGTATCTTAGAGAGCTCATAGTGCCATATTATCCCACCAGAATACTGCGCTCTGAGAATGCAGGGTTACTTGTGATTCCTAAAGTCTCCAAAAGTAGATCAGGAGCCAGAGCCTTCAGCTATCAGGCTCCTCTTCTGTGGAACCATCTTCTTGGTTCAGTCTCAGAGGTAGACACCATCTCCATATTTAAGACTAGACTTGAGACTTTCCTTTTTGATAAAGCTTATAGTTAGGGCTGGCTCAGGCTTGCTTGGACCAGCCCCTAGTTAGGCTGACATAGGCCTTGTCTGCCAGGGGACCTCCTACAGTATAATACACAGAGCCCCTTCTCTCCTTCTCTCTCTCTCTCCTCAGTTTCTGAAAAGTTGGTTCTTCTTCATTCATGTCCTGTTGCTGCATATTGCTAACTCAGCTCAACTGCATGTCACTAACTTGGCTTTTTCTCTGGAGCATTTGTGCTCCACTGTCTCACAGGTTCCTTCAAATTGCAGCTATGCCCAGATCATGTGTCGCGGTTGTGCTGCCTTGGTCCTGCCTGATGCCTCCTACTACTGCTGTTATTATTAGTCATACTTCCATTATTATTATACACATATGATTATTATTGTCACATACATATGCTATCATATATTAATATATACTTCTAACATAAACTATCAAAATTACTGTTATAATTATTATTATATTATTACAAAAAATAATGTTATTGTAGGTATTATCATCACTGTCTGCCCTGCATCTCTCTCCATCTCTGTCACACTGTCTCTCCCTCTCTTTATGTATCATGTTGTCATATGGATGACCGACAATTATTATGTTGATCTGTTCTGTACGACATCTATTGCACATCTGTCCGTCCTGGAAGAGGGATCCCTCCTCAGTTGCTCTTCCTGAGGTTTCTACCATTTTCTTTCTTTTTTGGGGGAGTTTTTCCTTATCCACTGTGAGGGTCTAAAGGACAGAGGAATGTCGTATGTTGTAAAGCCCTGTGAGGCAAAACTGAGTAGCAGCACTATCTGTGGGTGGTAAAAGTTTCTGTTGTTTTTGGAGGTGAAGCTAAAAGCAGTGTGCTCTATTTGCTTGTGATGCATCCTTTAATTTGCTCATGGTTATTCACACTTCATAAGAATGTGTCTTGATAATATGTGGTGGGTTCAAGGATGACATGATTGAAGTCCAAGGTTTGAAGAGTTGTGGCCACTTGTTTCTTGATACCAAATCCAGATTTTCCTTAAGCCACTAAGCTGTTGGGTTTCCCCACTTTCCATTCCACTTACCTTACTGCCCAGTAAACATGCTGTAAAGCACTGTGCCACAATTGATGCATTAGTTTACCCTTAACATGCTCCAACAGACGATCACATATTATACCTATTTCAACCTTTCTGCACTGACTTCCTGTTGATTTTAGAATTCAGTTGAAAATGTTTGTGCTCACTAATAGAGCCCCACATGGCCAGGCTCCACAGTATATTATTGACCTTCTGCACCCCTACATCATGAGCCAAGTTCTTAGGTCCTCTACCCAGTTATGGCAAAATATTATAAATTCTATTATAATATATTATATTATATTACGAATATGACAGCCTCCTGTGTTTTTTATGTATCTGCTGGTTTCACGGCCTCAGAATGAAAGAGAGATACAGTCTAAATAGCATTTTTAAAATCTGCTCTAAGATCACAGGAGTGACACAAGAGGACATGACCTGTTTTTGCAGTCAAAAAATCCTCCAGAAAGCTTCAAGTATTTTAGCTTCTTCTGAACATGTTCTTGAAGGTAAAATTATCGTAACGTTTTACCTGTTTGTAAAACTAACCACTATTCAAAAACATTTATTCCCTCTGCAATCTGTTTTTTAAATTCTCTGTGAACTTATTTTATTCTTTTGTTTTTTTAATCTCCTCTATTGATAATCAGTCTATTAAACTTTATTATTTGTAGATTCCTTTATTCCACTAAACTCCTAAGCATACTTTATATTCTTTTTTTTAAATTTATTAGTCATCTATTTATGAGTCTACATGTTACTGTATGTTATAGTATGTGTGTAAGGCAAACTGTTCGCACAAATTGCCCCTGGTGGGACATCAGCACTCTGAGTTAAACAAATCATAGCATCATCAGTCTTGTAAGTTACATTCCATCCTGGCTGAAACAGTTGAGGGATAATAACGCAAGGAGGGAATCTGGTTCTAAAAAGATGAAACCATGTCTCTCTGCAGCCAGAATGGACAGGAGGAACAATAACATTGACCAGTAACGCTTTTAATGTGTGTTGCTAACACATGCAAGTACTGTAACAAGCTAGATTAGAAACAATGCGAACCTATCCATTAAACATCTTCTCTGCCTCAGCTGCTGATGTGGTGCATGTCTTCAGCTCCACTCTGCTGTGTACAGTTTACCCAATCTTTTTATGTGATTCTGCAAATGAGGTGACTTAAAATGTGATGAAGTACAACCCCAGATCCAAAAAAGTTGGGACACTGTAAAACTTATATAAAAACAGATTGCAATGATTAATCATTAGTTTAAGAAAATAGAATTGCAACAAAGTAAGTGATATAGTTTTGTCACAGTTTGCCTTCAAATATTCAGTAAAAATTAAAATGATCTCTCATTTCTTTAGTTTGGAAAGAAAAACATTAACTCAGAGTGAGATTCAGATTCAGTATACAATATTAATGGTTCAATAGTTCAAATTAAAATCTACCACAAATTACACATTACACATTTAAACAGCTCCCAAATAAAAAAAAGTACCCTGGGATCTATACATATAAATCATCAGGTGATTTCCTTCTCTTTTAGCAAAATCCTAAATGATTGAGTTGTTGTTGTTTTTGTTTTTGTTTTTTACACCTGGACCTTTATGCCCTGCCATTATGCCTCTAATCATCACGCTGTAACCTGTGACAAGCTGCAACGATAACTACTGCACATTCACATATATGCTCCTGAGACCTGAACTTCTGTTTGGTATGCATTTTAAAATTCTCTGAGCTATTTGGAATCAGTAGTACCCAATAAGTATAAAAAACTAAACATTGTCAACGATAATTAAGTCAGAATGTCCTCAAACAAGTACTTCATAATTAACAGTGTCTTAGCATTACTGTTGCTAACATTTGTCAAATTTGTTGCCAGACTGACTTGTAGATGGTGATATCCCTAAATTCTTTACAACTGTTCCTCGAGAAATGGGGGACTGGGGTTGTACAATATGTGAAATAAAAGATGCTAAAAAATGCACAACAATAAAGACTTCATTATCATAACAAGTAAATGAAATATTAATGACTGCCTTCTGACTACATATTAGTTATTGAGTGCAGACTGACCTCGGTCCAGCCTGATCCCTTCATCAAAACGAGAGAAGAGTCTGTAGCGTTGAGCCCAGTATTTAGCCAGCTCTGGTTCAGCTGCCATCTCTGCTGGAACCTGCTGCTTCCTCTTCTTACTCTTTGGCTTCTTCCTATTTTTCACCATCAACTCTGGGCGCGCGCGCACACACACACACACACACACACACACACACACACATGCGTTTCAGCATTACACTGCAACAGTTTTCATCAGGATGGTCTTATTTTACTACAAACAATAAGTTCTAAAAACAAAAGTATGCCATCAGAATCATTTGACTGGCAGATGCTTGCTTACCACTGTTGCTTTCAGGTGCGTCGGGCATGAGGAACTCGGGAATTTCTAGACATGTTAACTGTCTACCAGGCTGCTCCTCCTCCTCCTCCTCCTCCTCCTCCCTCTCACTATCAACAGTCCCAGTAGAAGAGCTGAGATTTCTCTCTGTAACTACACTGGATGGAGTGTCAGAACCATCTTCTTCCACACCCTCACTTTTCATCCTCTTCCTCCTCCTCTTCTCTTCTTCTCCCATTACTTCTCTCAGATGTGGATGCTTGTCCTCAGGTTCCTTTGTGCTTCCTCCTTCCATCTCACCCTGGTCACATGGAGTCATCTGGGTCTCCCTCTGAGTCTTTTCAAGGAAGTTTTTGACCTGTGAAACAGTCTTAATTTAATAAGTCTTCCATGTAACATTCAAACTCATAAAACTTTATGCTACTTTCCATTTCTGACTGCCATAGATTATCAGTGCAGGTGGTTTAACATACCTGGCTTCCATCCGTTTCTCCTACAACTCAACACAAGACAATGCTGACGAGGAGTTTAAATGCTCTGATATGGGTGATGAAACTTTGGAGTGGAACACTGTGCAGTTTGGAATATTGTCATTGCATCTTTAAAACACCAAGCAAGGCAAAATCAATATGCAGGGTTGCAGCCAACTGATATAAATTTCCAACATTTAGGTAATTAATTATCTGTCATGTAATGTGGATGCTTCCTTTTATAACAGTACAGTCCTAAGGGCCAAACTTACTTATGATGTAACACAAGTGTGCAGTGCAGTCACAAGAGGAGAAGGAAAGCTCACACTGTAGCAGCTTACATTTACTGTTTACAGGTCACAGGTGCGATCTCTTTGAGAGCTCAGAAAAGAAATGGTGACATGATCCCCTGACATTTAGGCCCTGTTTAGACGACAATGGTTTCTCTAAAAACGGAAAAGTCTGTCCTTTGCGTTTTAAAAAACTTCTGCGTTTATATGACGACGTTATTGAAACGATCTCCCTTCACACGGAGCCGCAAAATCTACTGGAAACGCTGTAGTATGCACGCCAGGCCAATGGGTGGCAGTGTAAATTTGCAAAGCAACACCACGGCATGACGCCATACGCCTGCGCTGAAGCGCCTTCCTCTACAACATGGTGATTACAAACCAAAACAAAGAAGACACACTGGCGAAAGCATGCACTGATAACTTTGTCTGGATGGACAACGAGGTGGAGTTGCTACAGTAACAGATCTACACTTCACTTCAAATCAACAGGGTGAGCAGCACAAACAGAGCTCGGCCTTGTTGTTGTGACGGTCGGCATGCCTAGTGACTGGAACCGTAATGCGCATGTGCGAAAAGTATCAGTTTTCAGAGGAACTGCATATTGCAAGTTTACATGACAATGGAGACACTGCCGTTTCCAAAAAGTTGCACTCTGGAACCTGTTTTCAAAACGTTGCGTTTTCAGGCACCCAAAACACCGCTGTCGTGTAAACGATCAGCCAAAACGCAAGTAAACTTTACCGTTTTCAGTTGAAATCGTTGTCGTATAAACAGGGCCTTACTTTTGTAGTGGAGCATGCTGAAATGTTTCCTAACCTTAAGTAACTGCGCAGAATGTTTCCGCCATTCCGGCATCATGAGCAGTCAATGAAAGAGACTTTTCATCCACTGGATTTGTAATTCAAGAACGGAGAACCCAGCTTAATGTTAGTGACTGCTGCCTGTGTGTTAAATCACTGGTGTGGGTCGGGTCACGGGACCTTTATTAATGAGTGTGGGTGGGTGCGGCTTTGACTTAGACAAATAACAGGTAAGGGGTAGGTTCTGGTACTGAGCTTTACGGGTATGGTCGGATGCAGGTTTTCAAAAATGGACCTGTGCAGGACTCTGGCAAACAGTTCTCTTTCTGTTTCCCCTCTTTCATTAAGCCATCACTGCTATCATGTGTTGGATTCAGCCTGTCAGAATGCACGCCACAGCGCTCTGTGCATATGTGACGCATATGTTGTTTGAGAAATAGCACATGCACTAGATGAATTCATGACAACAGAACATTGTTTGCACATACAGTTTGACTCTTGAAATACAAAGAGGTACGAAGTAGACAAGAGAAACTGACCCCTGTTTTAGTGTCGATCCTATTGACACTAGGATCACTAGGACTGATCTTCAAAATGAAAATGCTGTGTCTTTAGCATCGATTTTATAGAGTGTGCCAGGGCTGACGTCAAAACCTGGAAGTTTAGCATTGCGCTGGTTCCCAGAAGAGAAAGTGAATGTGATTTTTGAATTGCATTTTGGATTATGTCAGAAAATAAGCTCTGTGGCTAACACAAGTTTATGATACTTACAGGTTTTGTTCAGCGAGATAATCTTCACATATGAACACTTGTCATACGACATTTGAAGCTTAAATGCGATCGCCAGAAGTAAAAAGCTAACGTTAGGCTTTAACGGACTACATGACTACATCACGGTCGCATGACTCAGCCCCAGTAAGCTTTCAACTGATTTCGGCCGCTTTATTTTGAAAACATTGTATAATGGGGAAATCGGACTGTTTAAGCTAAATAAGAAGCTGTAATGGCGGACTGCCAGCACTCTCGTCTGTTCGGGGCTGATGACGTTTAATGTCCCCGACAGGGTTTGTAGTCGTATTGAGCAACTTGTTAGCAACCGCCTTTTTTTACGACACGTAAAAGCTTCAAAATTCACAAGTAGGGTATTTACTGATGTGTTTTATGTCGTAGAACAAAAGCCTGAAACTCGCTTAAGCTTTTGTTAACCACAGACCTTATTTGAGGCATTTTACCAAAATCCCATTCAAAAACGTATTGACTTTTAGACGAGAGAACTGGAAGTGCTAAAAGTGCTAACGGAGTTCCGGGTTTACTGGCACACTCTATTGTATCGATCCGCCCACCCCTAGCTAAAACGCTCCTGTGTACAGAGAGAGTTTTCATTTTGAACTGATGTTTTAAAATGAATATGTATTAGTGTGGATGTGGCCTGGAGGCCAAGCAGTGAGTTGCCCCTCAGCCTGATGCTGGTGCAGGAGGAACACTGGGGATTTGTTCTGATTCAAGTTTGTGGTGAGAGATGAAGAGAAATCTCTCACTTGTTCTTTTTTTATAATTCGAGGACAAACTCATATTTGGAATGCCCAAACACGTGTTGAGCTACATAAAGAGCATTCAGGGTCAGTGTTAAGTTGAACTGTTCAAAATGTAGGTGATGAATGAATGAATATGGTCAATTAAACTGCCATTTTTTAAAAACACTTGTGGTTCATACACAAAGTCCATCTGAATTTAGGTGTGTGGAAAGAAGCACCTTGAATTGTAAAAAATTTGTGATGTATTTGGAAATTTTGGTTGCAGAATCGTAGGTTCAAAGTCAAGAGAGATGGAGAGGTTTTCAGTGAAGAGTGCCCAGCTGGTCTGGGAACAAGTGAGGATCCCCCTCGACAAGTGTTGCCTGCAACACCAAGAGTAGATGGATGCACAGGACCCTGCAGCTGTCTGGTTGGAAATATCCAACACAGCAGCTAAGTTGAGTCAGCACAGATTACTTTACCAACTATAAGTCCATTCCAAGCAATCAGATCAGGAGCTCCTGTCAAACCACAACTCTGTCTAAGACAGTGGTAACCCTTCAAGAGTTTACAGGTGGTGGTACCTTGCAGAGGGTGGTGCTGGTCTGTGGCTGTTTGTTATCTCCACACGTCTCTGAGAACCTGATGTGCTTGCCAATGCTGCGGACTGCTCTCTTAGCCCACCTCTGCCTCCGAGGCTTCTGACCAGCACTGCTTTTAAAGCTGAACACACTGTTGAACCTGAGGTACAAACAGAAATACAACCTCATCCAGAAAGACAATTACTGTAGAACAACTGCTCCAATATGTCTACACACCACAACAATTTGCATCCATACTGTTACTGTTCAATAATCTCTGTTACACTAGTTAGGATGAAAAAATTACCCTCCATGTTTTTTTTCTGAGCAATAGCAAAATGTAAATTTCACAGTTTTTAAGTATCACTCATTTTACATAATACATATAGTATACACTCAAGGCAAATTCACAAGAATGGATTGTGGCCACTGTTAGTACCATGCATTGTGCATTGCAGTCACTACCTGCCTCATCTCAAGGTCCAAGTCACAGAAGACATTGCCCTTACAATATTCTTGCACCAGCATGTCCATAACTTTTTGCAGCTGAGTGCAGTTTGGCCTTTTCTATTGCTAATTAACATGAAATGAATATTCAATAATGTATTTCACTTGTTACTGACCTTGTTTTAACACATATACAGTTCAACTACTACTCTCATGAGAGACAGAGTAGGAGAAACATGAAAAAGAGAGGGATGAGACAGAAAAACAGTGTTCATGCTACTATTTACGACATACAGATACAAAATGGCATGCATTAAAATGTGTCTGCTGAAGAAAAGACTGCTGGAGGACACTTCTGATTTCTGTCACTTCTGACACACTTCCAGTGGACACAACAGAGCGTTAGACCAACTGGGAGGCAAACAGAACCAAATATACATAAATAAAAATTAAAAAGGCAGCATGAATGGATCAGACTTACAGTGGCTCTGGGTTGTGTTTGAGTCCCAGTTTATTCCAAGCTTCCTCTGGTGTCAGCTGTGGACTCTCTTCCACATCCAGCTCATGACTACAAACAGGAACTAGAATTATTACCTTGTGGTTGTATGCCTCTGTGCACCAGTCAAATTTCTAGTTTACATCCATGTCTGTGAAAACCTGGATGCTTCACACACATCTTCCCTGCAGCAGCACAGAAGATCTATACAATCAGCACAGTTTGAAGATTAGTGTCACCAATTCAGTGTCTGACCAAATGTCTCCCCTTCTGTTCCTGAGATATGACATTATTAATGTACGGAGCCCCTAAAGTCCCCAAAAAAATTAAAAAAAAAAAACTATCTTGTGTGCACGAGATACTAAATCGAGCACACAAGATACTAAAACATGTGCTCCACATACAATTATTTCCCACGCTTTGATTTATTTGTGCAAATGGCTCTCGTACTGACCACTTCAGATGTTCACAGCCGCAACCACGATACAATGGAGAGAAGAACTCAGTGACAGGGAGTCAGGGACTCTGCGTAGCTGCAAGGCGAGAGCAGGCAGTTCTTGAGGCCAGGGGCGAAAATCCCATTTCATAGTTGGGGGGGACAATAAACAGTAAAATTTTAGAGAATAATTGCAGGGGGGGACAAGGGAAAAAAGTTGTAGCCTGTCTGTTATACAGCATCTTTTACTGCAATTTGACGCTTTAAATCTTCTCTCTATCTCTCCAACAGTCAGCGTGAATGTCTATACTAACTAAACTAAAACTAAAACTAAACATTTCCTGCAATTAAACTGGTAAACTGGTTTATAAACAGTGTGCTGTGAGATCCGCCGCTGCGCACCTCACAACCATGCGTAATAGTGGCGCGTAATGACCGCTCCTCGTCTGCACGTCTTTGATATTTGTCTCACTGACAGGTGGAGAGCCTACAGACAGGTACCCATACGAGCCGCTCTGCCACAACCGTGCGTAATAGTCGCGTGTAATGACCGCTCCTTGTCAGTTAGACTGCACGTCATTCATGTTTGTCTCACTGACAGGTGGAGAGCCTACAGACAGGTACCCATTGCTCCGCCACTGACTGCTCTTGTCCTGTCCTCTCCCTCTTTTTTCTCTCCTGTCCTCTCTATCACTAAACTCTGAGCTTAATCATTAGCTTTTAGTTTAGCAGCACTCGTAATTGAGTAGGCTTTTGAAAAATGCAGGAGAAATGTTGCAGACGGTTTATATTCCCAGCCTGGGCCTGGGGCTTGTTGTAACAGTAAATGGGATGTGTTGTAACTTGTGTAAGTTAAACTGTGTCTGTGTGAATGAACATCTTACCCTGCGATGTGCGATGTGAGCAGCGGTTCCAGCCACACGGCTACTGCTGCCAAGCAGCCCCGCCCGTTGGAAAGAGTGTGGGATATACCACTACTAGGAATGGGAGGGGGGGACTAAATCTTTTAAGATTTAAATAGCACATTATTGCGAGATTATAATGAGCACCGCTTACATTGTGCTTTTAATAAATACTACTGCATTGTTCAAAAATTATTAATTGTGTCTCAAATGATTCTAGGGGGGTACAGCTTTACTGAAGGGGGAGTCATGTCCCCCCTGTCTCCCCCGGGATTTCCGCCCCTGCTTGAGGCGGCTCAGGGGAAACGAGTGGATGTGGGTTCCCCGGTACTGACCCCCTTTCCACGAAAGCGGCTAATGGAGCTTAGATAGGGCCCAAAAACTCCAGCCCGACCCAGCCAGAGCACGTTATGTCCGGGACCGGCCGTCCCGTCCAATTAACTGTAATTATGGGCCCGAGCCCGATTTAAACCTGACATTTTTCAATAAGTTGGCTGTTATAATTAAGAGTATTAAACCACAATTCTTGTTATTTGAATGATAGGAATATCGGATCTTAATGAATGACGCAACACGGAAGCATGATTATGTAATAAAACAGGTGTTTATTTTAGGATCCAGGTGGTGAAGGGCTGTGTGCGCACAATGTTACAACAGGGGACAGCCCTCCATTCCGAAACACCCCCACTCTGAAATTGATTTTCAAGTCCATATCGAGTTTCCTGCATCAAACACTGTCGCCCGCTCTCCGGCCGCACTCGCACAATTCTGAAATTCGTTGTACTACAAAAGCTTGAAATGAACGTTCAACTCATTGTTTTTTTAATGAAAATATGTCACTGTTTTCATTTATTATGTATAATTTCTCTAGCAGCAAACACATTTAAAGGAGACGCTTGTCAAGTCTTTTTACGCATGCTGTCTGTGGTGCTGAAATCCCTGCTCCTGCTGACAGCAGAAGGAGAAAAAAACAGACATTTCTTTGCTCTGTGCTTTCAGAAAATAGTCCCATTGTGTTCGCCAGGGTATATCAGGCTGTGTGATTATGCACAAAGATTGGTTAATGCATTGGAGCATTCATACAATTGTGGACATTTAACATGATAAACTAAGTGAAGTATTTGCTTGTTTTGTGGTTAATTATGCACATGATCCATTTGACTCCATCATGAAAGGGATTTTTATTCGTCCCTGCAGAAAGGGGCAAAAGGATCAATGCGTTTCCTTTCTGATTGCGTCCGTCTTGTTCATTCATTGGGGGTAAAAGCTGTCTGTGTAGATGCCTGTCCGTATAAATGAACAAATTTTTTTTTCAGAATATTATCATGTTTCAGTGAAGTTGCCAAGATGGACACCCAAGATGAGCGTCACCAGTATCTGACCAAATGTCTCCTGTCCTTCTGATTCTGAGATGATATTGAGTAATGGCCAGAAAAGTGTTTTATGCAGAACATTATGATGTCACAGTGGAGTTGACTTTTGACCTTTTAGATATAAATGTCATCACTTCATCATTACATGCTACTAGATATTTATGTGGAGTTTTGTCACAATAAGCGTAAGAATTCTTATGGCCAGTTATGGCCAAAAACATGTTTTGTAAGGTCACACTGACCTTGACCTTTGACCTTCAACCATCAAATTCCAATTAGTTTAATCTTCAGTCCATACAAACATCTGTGCCAAATTTAAAGAAATTCCCTCAAGGTTTTTGTGAGATATCATTTTTACAAGAATGAGACGGCTGCAAGGTCACACTCAGTGGCAGTTCTAGCCTAAATGGCGCCCTGGGCGACACCCCCCTATGGGTAGACACACACACAAACACACAGACACGTGCACGCACTTACAGGTGAGCACACTAGAGCGCGGCTCAGGCCGCATTTTCCTGACCGAACCCAACCCGAGTCCGACGCAGTTTGTTACCTGACATAGTCATTGTTATGGACAGTGTCTAACAAGCTGCTCGCACAGCAGCGCAGCACAGCACTGTACACACACTCAATTGGAGTGGAGCCTATGTTGCGTTCAGGCGTTGTCACGTAAATAACAAATTCCAGGACTTGAATAGGCCATAGCACAACACAGCAGCATGTCAAGTGGGCCGCACCATGTGGTGCTCGGGCCCTAATAAGTACAAGCTGAAATGCTTGGCTGTGTGTGGAACCAACACAAAGTTTATGGTTTATTAGAATTTAGAGTGTTTATGAAAAATAGTTTTATACCTGTTGCAATTAATTTTCAGAAACCTGTTTCGGCCCAGAAGGAAGGATGTTAAATCTCTTGAAGAGATGTAGTAAATCAGGATTCTCTAGCACATAGAAAATAACTATTAGACTCTGATGAGACTAAAACAATTTTGTCAGTGAAATAAATATTGAAACACACAGTGCTGGTTGTGCTGCTGGTTGCTACAGGTGCAGTGACCCTCAATTTTTTTCATTCAATTCTTAGTGAACATGACGTATTTTTGAAGGGGTAAAAAGCACACCTAAAAAAAGGCAGTTTTTCTACAAGAAAAAACAGATTCAAAAACCTACTCCTCATCAAAGGTAGCTCCAAATGTACACACACAGCACACAAACTTACCTGCGTTTGATTTTGGCTAGTCCTCCTCCTGGAGGTTTGTCATCATCATCATCATCTTCTCTATCTGGCATATAATTCCTTGAGCCATGCTGTCTGTCAGGGCTACCAGCAGCCTGTTGGGAATCTGAGTCAAAACATACAAGCACATAACATTAATTGGCACTATTCCAAAACCCTCTGTGCGTTCCAATATCCATACTATACAGTACGCCAGAAACAGATTTAGTATGTCCCAATACATATTATGTCAGATGCAGTATGCCAAAAATATCTGGATGTTCTACTTCATTTGGTAGGATTTTGCAGTATGCAAACCAGCATGCTTTCCTGGCTATTCTGACCCACAATCCTCTGCACAGCAGAAGATTCGTCACATCAACTGAGTTGCAGACAGATGACACTTTGACAACTTGTTGAAATCTGCCAGAAGCCGCAATGATGGATGACTGATGACCACTTTATTATAGGAATATTAATTACTTAATTAAACAAAATAATCACAAATATAACCAATAAGAAAAGAGCATATGTATTAAATAACAGTAACAGAGAAATGCTCTATAATTTTATTATTGTGAATATAATATTCTATAAACTACTATGTATGCGGTTATTATTTATTGCAAAATAACAACATCAGATCTCTCTTGACTGATCTCCATCTCTGGTGAGCTCGGTGAACCCCACTTTGTTTTATCTCCAAGGTGACCAATATATGGGCAAGAGGGTCAAAGTTCAGGGCGTAATGTTATGAGACAGTAGTATGTCCCAATTGTGTGCATACTGTATATAACAGTACATACCTTTTAAGGGCAGCTGCAGTGCCTACTACAAGTGAAAAGAAAAAGTATGCAAATCGGAACGCATCCCCTCGCTACAACTACTGTATATGATACTGAGTCTAAGATAAATATACTAAATTATTAATTCATTAATTCATTCATTTCCGTAACCACCTATCCTCTTGAGGGTCGCGGGGGGGGTGGAGCCTATCCCAGCTGACATCGGGCGAGAGGCAGGGTACACCCTGGACAGGTCGCCAGACTATCGCAGGGCTGACACATAGAGACAAACAACCATTCACACTCACATTCACACCTACGGACAATTTAGAGTTATCAATTAACCTAGTCCCCAATCTGCATGTCTTTGGANTGGAGCCTATCCTAGCTGACATTGGCGAGAGAAATGAAAGTAGTAAAAACTAAAACAGCAAGGTATCATTTGAATAATATACTGATAAATTGTAAAATAAGGGTCCAAAAAAGATGTGATTTTGATCGTCCTGTTGGTCTTACTCCACAATTCAGTACTACATAATTCCCAGTCTTTGAATGTTTGAGCAAATTATTCAATAAATACACCAAAACATGCAGTTGTTTCTCCAGGCAGATGTAGCTTGTCTATTGTTGTGACTTTGAAGAGTGTCAGACCATATTTTATGATTATATTATGCTAAAATACAGCAAAATCCAAGTAGTTCACTGACTATTTCTTGGAACTGTACACAAATAGACATTAAGTTATTACCTGTATGTTGAGCTGTGTTCTGCTGTGAAGAGGCAGCAGGTCTGTTGTGATCATTCCCACCATCAGAAGGAGGATCAGAGCCACAGTGCTCTGTCTCTGACAGCTCTCTGGTATCAGACACACTCACACGCTGCCCGTCTGTCTGTGAGTCAGTCACACACCTCCCTCCTGTCCCTAATGTACACTTCTGTCCAAAGAGATCATTCAACACCAAAGCATCATCATCAACAGCTGTTACTTCTTCTGCTTTTTCTCTCTGCTGGCTCTCAGCCCCAGTCTGTCCATCACTCCACTCCTCTGGATGTGCCTCTATGTCTTTGTCCATCACCCCTGCTGCTGCTTCTCCACCAGCGTCCCCATTACAGACCGACTGGTCAGTGGTCCAGCCCTGTGCTGACCAGTATGAGAACTGCTCCCAGTAGGAGTAGTAGGTCTCTGTGACATGTTGGTCCCAGACAGCTTTTGTATCTGGGTCATCCCAAGGAGCAGTCACTGTTCCTGGATCAGTCTCTGGATGTTTCTCCAGCCAGCTGTTCCACAGCAGAGTTTCACCCTGTTGAGCTTCAGGAGATACACCGGAAATGGATTAAAATAAAGCGGCAATATTTAATAAGTGAAGTTTGAAATGTTTTTTTTCTGACTCCTCCTAATCCCATACACAACCACGTGGTATCATGTGACCAAAGGTCCAATCTGAGGTCACACAATGACTGTGCCCAAAATTCCATACTAATATGCTATTAAGTTTGTGATAACAGTATGTGAGATTTTTTGGTATCTCCAAAATCTTAGTATAAAACCTACGTACAACATGGTTTAGGCTTTTTGATAGCTAAGCTAATGACGTGGCTCCAGGGATGTTGGTCTATCAATCCACCACATTGATCCAGACTGAAATATCTCAAAAACTATTTGAATGGTGTCATATAAATTTGGTTCATTGTAACTGCTAACTAGAATTAACGTACTGCCGCTGTATGCCTCTGATATAGTCCAATATGGGAAAGCATCATATTTCATTGGGTTTATACTACAAGTGTACAGTGTACATGTGTCCATCATTGCAGTTTTCATGTCATCCTCTTTACCCCAGTATGTTTCCCAGCCAGCAGCTTGGGTCTCTCCAGTTCCATCCGCTGGTGATATGCACTCTTCATTTTCATCAGCTAGGTGAAAAATCACAAGGCAGTGTCAAATAACATCACAACACTGAGCACATAATAACAATAAAATATACAGATTCATACAGTTAAAATCATCTCCTTAAAGTTAAGTGTTACTGATTGGTCCTGCCTGAGATGCTCCAGCAAGAAGTTATAAAGCAGGGAGGGCCCAGACTGCTGTTGATCCAAGCTTGCTTCCTTTATGGGCAAAAGTGTTACTTTGTGAAACAAGCTTCAAACTGATGCATCTAAACATGATTGCTACATAGCCTAATAATGGGGATGTAGCCAAGCTACCTGGTCATTTACTTTTGGATGAACCCTCCTGCTTGGTCTCAGTAGCCTGTTCATATTATAAATAATGATAACTATAAGTGAATGGTAATACCTTTATTGTCAGCCTGTTGATCATCTTCCTCTTCCTCAGCAGATTCTGCCCAGAATGAGGCAGGCTTGCTGTTAGACCTCCTCCCCTGTCACATGACCAAAAACAGGCTCATTCACACATCTACACAGACATGCTGTTCAAATGAATGTCCAGCAATAGGTCAGACTTACCACTCTCCTCCGGTCAGAGGAGCTAGCAAAGGCCAAGGGCAGACCCATGCTGGCCATCAGCTGAGCCTCTTCATCCAACACGCCCTTCTCCACACCATCAGCCTCCTCTTCTTCCTCCTCCTCTTCATCATCTGCTTCTTCTGTGAGTTAATAAGGGAAAGTTTGTTTCAGATGGAGTCATCCTTTCACATCTTTTGATTTCACTCTGTTAGGCAATATATGTGTGTGTGTGTGTGTGTGTGTGTCATGTTAATATGTCATTCAATCAGTGGACAACCTCAGACTCAGCTGGGGAATTTGAACAACCTCAGAATTAAACTAAAGGCCCAGTGTAATCTGAAAGGTGCCTCGGACCCCCAAGTGGAATGCTTTATATACATACCTCGGACTGCAGTGTTTGCCACATCAAATGAGAGCAATCTATTATCAGAGCGATACAGCTCCCGATCCCTGGACAGAGTCAGAGAACACAATCAGAAAAACTGATGAAGACCTAGACCTGCACATCTTCATCCATCCATTCACACATCACACTACAGTACTGTTTTCCAGCTTTTCAATTGCGCCTATCATCACATATCCACATCAGTAACTGCTGGTGGACATAAACAGATATGAGAGGCTTACTGTACGAAGGCTCTTGAGCAGCGACAGTGAATTCTCTCTTCCTCCTCAGCTAAGAGTCTTTTGCTGAAGAAGACATCCGCCACCACTGTCACCCTGCTCCTCTCCAGCATCATGACCATCAGCCGACTGAATCTGAAGCACACAGCAGCACGACCATACACATACACACGCTGGTTACTCGCTGTTCACTTCCGCTTCCCCACCAGTATCGGTTCACTACAACATCACACTAACGTTCAGTGTTTCGAGAGTAGGGACGACACTAAAACTTCCGGTCATGTCTTTTCAGAATAAAAGCGAATTGTATTTGTCCAGAAAACAGGTAAAAAAAAACTAAAAAAACGAGAAAATAAACAAACAAATGAACAGCAAAAATAAAAGTAAACACACTGTACAATGTCTTCCATGGCTTCATTTTAATTAATATTAGAAATCATGGGATTTCCTCATTCAGTTACTCATACCCATACTGTTTTTGAGATGTGAGATTTTAGCACACTGTACAGTTCTCCTTACAATGCTGTTCCACAAATACTAGGTCTTTAAGGAATTTACTAGACAATATATCATCACACTTATTGACTGAGAACTCGTGTTTTTAGTTATCATAAATAAAAATAACATTGGATCGATAATATTTGGCTCATCTCAGTCGCCCTTTTTCTCGGATGTTGACTCTTAAATTGTATTCATTTAGTATTGGGATTGTCATCCATATAATTTGGCATATTTCTACGTAACAACAACAAAAAGCCTATCAACACTTTTTGTTCTTTTTTTGTCATTTCCCCATCTCCACCCTCCCTCGAGTTTTCTCTTTCTCCAAAGGTGTTTTACTTTCTGTGCTAAGGTTGTTGGGGAAGCACTTTCTCTATTTGTGTTTAGCGCTTTTATTTTGGAGGCTACATTGTGTTGCCTTGTCCCACCTCACTGTGCTATGATTGGTTAATATTACTGGCTGTGGTTGGTCAGTGCTCCTGACGTCGACGCGTCTCATTCAGAGCGGTGGAACGGAACATTCAAGGGCTCTGGGATAGAGCTTCGAATCATGCATAAATAGCAGCCAGAGCCCGTGGCCGGAGCCCTTGATTCTACGGCACGACCCGTGTCAATTCAACGGCTCTGACAGCAGCTATCACAGCAAAGTGGAACAGGACTAGGCGGCACACTCCAGGGACGAGGGGTGCGTCCCAAGTCTCTTATTTTTATAGTGCTACTGCTAGCTCCTAACTAGAACCGGAAGTCGTTCGAGATCCGCCATCTTCTAGGCCATCCCAAGTCTCTTATTTATGCAGAGAGGAGCTAGCACTAGGAGCTAGCAGCAAGCTTTAAGCAGCTACGAGCTAGGATGGTCGAGAGGTTCCTAACAGGAAGTCTTTTTCAGCTTGAGGCAATGACATATAAATACCCACCCCCTAAAACTGACTCATTTGAACGAGATGGCAGAGAAACAGCGCAAGTGTACCCGTTACATGCATTCTTTGCAATGAAACGCTGTAATTCACATGCCTACGTGACTACAAAGAGTAACGTTAATGACATTTTGTGCAAGACTGTCATGTTGTAATTAAGTTTATTTCATTCACAACCAACCCGTTGCAGTGTTCAGCGGACTGTCGGTGATGTGTGGCTGTTAAATGTGCAGCTGCTCATGTCCAGAACTACACGTGTTGATATAACACCACGCGCACACACACACACACATACACATTTGCCCATCATTAATTGTCCTGCATGTCATGTGAGTGGAATAATGTTTAATAGCTTGTAGGTAATATTAATCATTAATATTAATATTAATTAATACTATTACTTTCATGTTGTTGTAAGCTACTGCTGTCTGTCCTGCATCTCTCTGTCACTGTCTCTCTCTCTGTCTCTCTCTCTCTCTGTCACTGTCTCTCTCTCTCTGTCTCTCTCTCTCTCTGTCACTGTCTCTCTCTCTGTCACTGTCTCTCTCTCTCTGTCTCTCTCTCTCTCTCTGTCACTGTCTCTCTCTCTGTCTCATTGTGTCATACGGATTACTGTTAATTTATTATGTTGATCTGTTCTGTATCACATCTATTGCACGTCTGTCCATCCTGGAAGAGGGATCCCTCCTCAGTTGCTCTTCCTGAGGTTTCTACCGTTTTTTCCCCGTTAAAGGTTTTTTTTGGGGAGTTTTTCCTGATCAGCTGTGAGGGTCATAAGGACAGAGGGATGTCGTATGCTGTAAAGCCCTGTGAGGCAAATTGTGATTTGTGATATTGGGCTTTATAAATAAAACTGACTGATTGAGGTAGACTGACAGGTCTGATATGTCTTATTCACTCAGCAGCTGACTTGCTGAATGATGGCGAGTGGATTTAATAATAGTGATAATAATGATGATAATAATAATGATAATGATGCTCATCACAGTGACAGTGGCAGGACTACGTTCTTTAATTGCCACAGACTTCGGCAAATGACTCAATAACAATGGTAATACATGCAAAAGTGTGTGACCAAAGTCATGACGGCGTTACGGCTTTGTGACTTGGGATGTACGCCAAACGCTGGCTCCGTTATGCAGCAGATCCAGCTGTGACGCCGTCATCAGGAATGGACGTCGCTTCACGTGACGCTACAGTGGAAAGGAAGTCTCATGTCTCTTAAACCGACAATGCTCGCTCATCGCTCCTAGCGCTAGCTCCTCACATTTTTTCCTAGGTGGGAGGGGCTAAACAGCTAGCAAAGTCGGCTAGCAGTAGCACTAGCAGTAATTTAAGAGACTTGGGACGGACCCGAGATATATCTTTTGAAAAATGAGACTTCCTTTCCTCTGAAGCGTCACGTGAAGCGACGTCCGTTTCTTTTGACCGCGGCAGCTGATTACAGCTGGATCAGCTGTCAGGAGGCTTTATTAACAGTTATAGAGAGTATTAGGCTAATGGAGTTTGTGTCTGCACACACTTAATAGGCTACATATATAAAGAGATACAGGTACAGAAATCAGTAGCATAACAGCAGTGTTTTCTCTCTAACAATCACCTGCACATGAACAACAGCCTGCATACTGTATTCATAATCTGTCCTGTGTCCTGCTCAGAGTCACACGATGTGTTTATATGATTTATTCATTATTATCATTACTATTGTTATTGTTATTATTATTACTTGTGAGTTCATTATTCAATAACCCAGAATACGATGACGATGTCTTTGAACACTGGAAATTATTCATTAGGCCAAATGTTTCAGGGAAAATTAAAATTCTGTAACTCATCAACCCGACGCTCAGGAATGATCAGCCTCAGTGTGACTGAATGGAAATGACAATCACTGATGTTAAAGTGTTTCTTGCTGGTAGGCAGACTCTCTGACAGACAGACTCTCTGACTTCGATTCTATCCATAATTAAAGTTGATGACCGAAATAACAGATCATGAAGAGAATAGCCTAATATTTCTAATAAATGAACAAAGTCGTTTGTTTCCTTTTCTTGTTCAGATTTTTAACTGATGGTGAATCAGAGAACAAATAAAATATAACGTGGCAGTGATACACTGAGTTTAATCTCTTATCTGTCTACACTCTGTATGAAACTCCAGTGATGTATCAGATCAGTCTGATCAGCTGCAGCGCTGCGCTGTCCAGTCAATAACTGATATCCAATCAGGGGGGGTGTCGGTTAGTAAAAGACTTCCGCGAAGGCTGCAAGGCTATTCAAGAGAAGGCTGAGACAGAGCATGGATACCAAGAGGCGAAGCTCCGTTGAATTTTTGCCAACAGCCACTAGGGGCGCTGCCGCCATTTTGGACTGTTGAGCTTGGACTGTTGCGCCCAGACAACATGCAAGATGTCAAGGAGAGAGGAGAAAAAAAGTAAAAGAAAACAGTGTAGTGCAATTAACTGCAACAACTATCAGTGGAACACCCCGCACCTGGCCTTCCACCGTTTCCCGAAGGATCCCGACAGGTAAGAACTCCTGAGGTG